GAAACTTTCTCTTCTTCTTGGAACCTTAACAAGGGTGCATACATCATCTTCAAAAAAGAAAAATATACCTTCTATTGGCCCCATATTTGGTGAAAGATTGCTTCCCACACTTCACAGTGAAGTTATATTTTCAATTTCTGGCTGAGAAGGGAAATGTCTGGCCAAGCCTTAGAATTTATCAACCCTGGAATCAACTTAGAGGTATAATGACTTCATTTGAGATCAGATCAGGTCCGAAGCCCCAGTGGAACCAATATGTCATTTCTTTTCTACTGCCATGAAAAAACTTAATACTATAAGTATAGTAGTAGCATTTTTGCCCTTATATGCACACCAGCTTTATTTCCCCATGACCCTAAAGTGTTCTGTTCCAAGGGCACCAGCAGATCTTTGGGCCTAGAGTTTTTCACAAGTTTGATACCCTAACAGTGTCTATAAAGTAACGAGGGGGAGTTTGTGGATCAATTACAACCCTATAAATTACCTACTCCTTTCCCCTACTCCAAACTGAATCAGTTCTAGACAGTATTATGCTATCATTTTGCAGGGGTCTATAAATAGATGGATTCTCATTTCTCCTCTTAAGCACTGTTTGCTCAATGTTTTTGGCTCCAAAATTCAGTCATTCCATGCAAGCATTAATCAATACAGAAGATTATTAGTGGTTAGTCGTTCAGATGAGATTTGACATTATTTTCCATCTGAGTACGGGGATGGGAGGGAGACAGCTCTGCCTAATAAAGATGAAGAGTCTTTTCTTCTTTTGTATGAAATGCAAATGATGAGGACATGTGGCGATATACATTTCTTGAATGTGAGGCTGCTGGTTTTTGTTGAGAAAGAGAGGCAAGACCCTGGAGGATTTCAGAATTTGTAAATACAAAATTATCTGCCTTGGTGTTTAAAAAAAATAATAAAAGGGAGAAAGAGTTGGCAGGTTGCCAGATTACTTACATTACAGTAATAGATTTGCTGACCCCTGACTTCTGCTGTAGAGAAATGTATTGAATTTTTCATAATATCAGATGAGGCAGATCTAAAAACCTAGTATACTGAGCACCATTATTTAACTTGAGATTTAACAAAGCCGAAATCTTTTCAAACCAGCAATTTCTTGTATGATGATAATTTAGTGGCTCAGATGCTAATAAATCAAGGTTATAATGCTATTGATTTGTTAATTTTAACTTGGGTTGATTTTAAGTCGTCTTTACTTAAAAAAAAAAAAAGGAAAAAGAAGGAGGAGGAAAAAAATCTTGCTTTCACAGTGACTGAATTTAATAAGAATCTTGGTGATAGCAAAAGGCTCCCCTACTGTTTCTGCTCTGGGGTGGAAAATGTTATTCTTGTATTATTCCTGGGGAAAAATAAAATCTCATGCTGCTACAAATCTTATGCCTATGGAAAGATGTTATTTTTTAATACATGATGGCTTACCTATTTCAGATCCATTAATGGCATCGTAAATAAGCATTTTGCTAATCTGAAATGTGAAATCTGGATAATAATAAAGGCCCATTTATCTGCCAAGCTTTCAATTCCCAGAGTAGATGTAGATCAGGGGTAAAAATCTCTCTGGATTTTCTAATGAATATATTGCTTCTCTTCCCCATTACTTCCACCTACCTAAAACCCAACCCACATTCTTAGAGTTGCAGCCCATCAAAGATGGGCTGTGTAATGAGTTCTTGGGGGCTGGGGTGCATTTTTGCTTTTATCTGTAAGGTTTAGAGACTGATTAAATCTTCGCTGTACTACAAATATTTGAGGAATAGTCATCCGCAAGGCACAGGCATGTTGCATTATACTAGATTCTTTATACAGTACGAGCCTACTCAGCTTCCTGCATTGGGCAATGTTGACCTTAATATTGGCTAACCTGTTTTTAATGGTATTGCATGTACCCTAAACGTTTAAAATGTTCTGAAGCCTATAATAGCTTTCGTCCTTTTGTACTGTAAAAACTTCTAATAATCAGATGATAAGATCATATCCTGTGGGGTAATTGTGTTGTACCATGACAGGATAACTGAAAAAACATTCAGTGAAAATTGCACCAAACGGAAATCACTATATGAACAGCGATTGTTTGTGTGCTGTGCAAGACCGTGCCCTGTTCTTCAGGGCTTAGCTGGCCATATTTCTACTTGTTTCCTTTTAGCTGCTACCTTTCTTATTGTATTTTGGGAACCTTTTTTCCCTGAGCCACTATAGTTATCTTTCAGTGATTTAGAAAAGGGGAAAAAAAAAACCCCACTCAATTGACCTTTACACACAAACACACACTCACTCTCTCTCTCACTCACATATTCTCTCCTTCTGGAAGCCTTGAACAAGCAAAGCTTGTGTTTGGATTCAGTTTTACCTTAGTCATGCCTCTTTCCAGATACAAGAAACATTTAATTCCAGATTTCCTGCTTCTGGCTTTAGGCCTTTGACCAGCAAAGTGAAATGTATTTTTTACTGCTGTCGGCCAGCCAGCTGCCGAGTTGAGTGAAGAAGAAAAAAAAATATATGAAAGAAAGGCGGGGGGGTGGGGGGGGAAGAAAGAAAAAGAATGAAATGGAAATGTTGCCCTGCTTCTTGAATCTGCAAAATTGTCTAAGGGAATTAAAGTCTCCTAAAGGCACCAGCTAGAGGGCCTGGGTGGCCCTGGACCTGTGAGAGCCTGAGGGGAGGGGTCCACGTTGGGTGTGCCTCCAACCCAGTTCTCTGCTTTCTCTCACCCTCTCCCCACAGTCAGAGGTGACACTGTCATCCTTCCCAGTGAAGAGGGTTCTTCACCGTGTCACCATCGTGATTACAGAATGAAGTTGAGGGCAGGGGTGGTCCCAACAAACAGCAACCACTGGAATACCCAGACTTCAATGCTACTTGGGTTCCCATGGCAACCAAACAAAAGTAAAACAAACCTATCCATCCCAACAATAAAAATATGTTTTCATTAAAGTCTATTTAAAATGGTCTTTTCCCCAGTTTAAAATATTCAATGCGTTTCGCTCCCAGACAAAAATCCCCAACCTGCTGATGTTAAAGGGGGATCAAGTCCCTGGCAGAACCGAGCAGATTAAAGGAATCGGGGTAATGTTGGGGACTTTACAGATGAGACGGGATAAAGTCAAGTATGAACAAGATTGCTTTTTTCTCTCTTCTGCTTAGTTATGCTTTTTATTATATAAACATTAACTGTAATATTACAGTGGGAGTCAGGTATTTGGCAACCATATATTATTTTAGTAAGTCTGCATCGAGAGAACAGTTTCCAGTTTTAGCAGCTGTAACATGTTTAAACTCAGTTTGTAATGGGATCTGAAGATAACTATTCCCCATGGGCTGTGTTGATCTTCATGGCTGGCCCACTGCCAGATGGAGGGCTCGAAACTATTATTCACGCCTCCTTGCACATACCTTGTCTGAGCATGCTCAGTAAATGAATTTTGTTTCTAATATGCTGTAAATCGGGATTTCATTTTCCCATAGTTTCCTTGGTATTTTATTAAACACTGAAGTGTTATCACAAAAGCCCCCACGTCTGTACTCACAAACAGTTGTGCGTGTTTAGGTAGCTGAGATCCAAATTGCCTAGTTAGAAGCTGATTTTAGGATAGCTAACAAATATCCAAACCAAAGAAGTTTTTGCCTGGAAGTCTTAGTTTAAAAATAATTAGGGTTCCCAATATTTGAACAGATTTATGTTGTTTATAAGCCAAGTACATTTTCTTCATTGAGTCAACTTGTCTTATTTAAAACAAATTATGTTTGCCATATTAAAGTTCATATTTTTAAGGCTGAGTCTTGTATTAATCCCACAGTGAGTCATTAATCATACCAAATGCATTATAAAAACTTTAATCACTGCAGTTGAAACTGAGATTGTAATGCAATCCATCCCTTTTAATTACATCAGCTATTTTTCCCTTTCAGATCAAGAGCTCTGTCGCAAAGGGAAAACAGATTAAAACTAGAGCTGTTTGATGTTTCTCTTTTTAGAACAATTTTATGTACTTTGTTTAAAAAGTTATATAATTAAAATGCTTGAATTTTTCAGCCCTCTAATTTTTGTGGCTTGAGTGGTCTGTCCGCCCTTCTTCTCACTGGGGCTGTCTTTTGTTTGGCACCCCAGTACGGGTGGGAGTCACCCACCCACCTCAGAGCTCCCACCCACCTCAGAGCTTGGGATAAGACAGCTGTCTCTCAGCCACATTGTGCTTGCCTCCCATTAACCTCTTTATCTTAAGTGTCTGGTCTATATTTTAACATGAATGAAAATATAAACTTTGGAGACAGGCAGAACTAGGTTCAAATTCCATCTCTAACAAATGGTATGATGCTTTAAGCAAATTGACCTTTCTGGGGCCTCCCTTGCCTCATCTCTCAAAAAAGGGATAGTAATAATGGTCATAATAATATTATAATAATAACAATTAAGTAACACTCCATAAAGATATTGTGGAGATTACATGAAATAATGTATATAACGCATCTAGAACATTACCCAGCATGTACTAGTACATACTTAGAATATCATCTTCATGAGGTCAGGGGCTTTGAATGTTTTGTTCACTGTTGTATCTCAGTGCTTTGAACACTAAGCACACAGTAAGTGCTCAAGAAATAATTGTTGGCAGAACAATAAATGAATGGCAGCTGTCATTAGTGTTGCTATTATTGCTGTGATAATATTGTTGGCACTTAGCCAGGCTCCATGAGCTGTGATAATGATGTTGATTTTGGACACTTCCATCGGTATCTTTGGTATACAGATTCATAAAACCAGAAAGATGTCTTGCAAGGAAGTATGTAAGTTACCAGGGGCTGGTTTTGACCTAGGAAGTAGATCCTGGAAGTGTGGAGTAAGTTTCTAGAAATGCACTGGTGCCAATGGAGATGAAGTCATTCACTAAATTGCTTGTATTTGGAAAAGAAACTAAACCCCAATAGCATCAATGCTACCTGGAATTGCCTCCCATGATTGATCATCTCTTCTGATATCCTTCCAGATTAATCCTACCATATGAAAGGTTTATAAAAGGAGAGGAAGATAAGCCCTTGCCTCCAATCAAACCTCGGAAACAGGAAAATAGCTCACAGGAAAATGAGAATAAAACAAAAGTATCAGGAACCAAACGCATCAAACATGAAATCTCTAAGAGCAAGAAAGAAAAAGAGAATGCCCCAAAGCCCCAGGAATCATCAGAGGTGAGTTGCTATTCTCCATAGAAATATCTGGGTGAGACATATACTGTCCTGTGTCTTCTGGAACCCTACATCCAGAGCCCTGTCCCTGCCTACTCACTGCCCTAGATGAAGAAATCACATCATCTCAGCTCCACGGGTCCCTGTAGAGTGGATCTGTCGGTTTGCTCAGGAGCTGGAAGGCAGGGCGTGGTATTAAATGGATGGGCCAATAACAGGACCTAGAAAGATGGGAACATCCTGTAGAAAACTGATAGCAAATGCTGACTTTGAGATAGAAGGAGTCAGGGCTTTAGCTCTGGGAAGCCAAGGGACTCCTGTGTGAAAGATGTGGCTTCTTTGTCATTTCACAGCCAGTCTGAGGAGCTGGCGTGACTCTAAAGCACACTTTGTGGGTTCTAACATATCTAGGGATGTTGAAATGATGTGCCATGTTTCCACAGGACTGCCCTAAAACTTCAGAGATTTGTTTGCCTCCCATAACTGACCTCTGTGCAAGAGCCTTGGGTCAGGACCAGTTTAGAAACATCTTAAGTATATGCTATTTATAGGAAAATTTTGAAATTGTTCCTCTGAAACCATTATTATCTCTCATGTTAAAAGGTAGTTTCTGAACCTTTTAAAACAAGCCCTAGCTACCCACAGCCCCCAACAGCCCTTTGGTAGAAGCCATTACTGTCAGTGTACAGCCAGTCATGGAGGCTGATCTGGGCTCTGTTTCAACATGAATAATAAAAAACCCTGCTGCCCATAAAAAAAAAAAAAAAAAAAAAATAGCAGCCACATTTGGAGACAGCATGTTCTAGGATTCAACCCCAGAGGGAATTTTGGTGCTGATATTAAACACCCCCTAAAAATCAGGTTTATAATGAACACACAAGAGACTCCCTAATTAAACACTGGCTTAAAACACACACACACACCACCACCACCACCATCACCACCACCAACAACAACCTTCTAACTAGAAATTAACCTACCCAACTGACTCCTGTGTAAGAAAAGATTATTAATACCAAGAAAAGGGCTTATTTTTTTTTATTTTTGTTTCGTAATTATTCTAAGCTTCAGTAATTAAAAGAATGGGGGGAAAAATGATGCAGAGATTTCTAAACATCTGCAAGCTTGCAACATAAATGGCCAAAAGCAAGGAAATTCCAAGTTAAGGCTGACATTCCATTCTTCCTTTATCCTGTTGGCCTGGTGATTTATTATAAGGTTTTGGATCAGCGAGTTCTATTAGATACCATATGTACAGCATTGCCAAAGCACCAGAGGACAAACTGAGGCCAAGGGGCCAGCTGACCTTTGAGTGGCTCCACGTTGGGGATGAAATTCGAAATGGTTGTTTTGTGAGATTGGGGAGGAGTCCTCAGCCCGCTGAAGCCCCTCAGCTTGGGGAATGACTGTTGCCAAGAGTAGAGCCTGACTCCCCCCAGATCACAAAAATCCTTCAGGCCTTCAGGCTCCCTGTTTCTCCTAGGCCTCAATGCCTCAGGGCACTGTAAGGTCTGGAGTATCAAAGGTTATCATGATCAGGTGATCTCAACTACCTAGACTTTCACACCCTCTCCAAGGCTGACCTTAGAGTAAGAATTGCTGCCCACCTCCAACACAGACCCACCCACGTGTTTGACCAGGTGTATTTCTCCTCGCTGTGTGTTTGGGGTTTGGATTTTATTGTTGTTTTTCTTGATGTTTTCAATATGAAGCAGTGAATTCAATGGAGATTGGAAGACTTATAAAGTCCTTCCAGTCAAACCCACTATCTTCAGGTAATTGGATTGCAAGTTGCATGGTGGGAAGGTACCATTTAACACATCAAGGCAGACATAAAATGCCATCCCAGAAAAACGGTCCTTTACTTTTTTCTTGCCTAGCTTTCAGAGACCATAAAACTCTATGTAACTGAAAACCTAGATCCCAGAAACTTCAGTGAGATTGAGTATCCCCTATAGCTTTACTTCAAACCACAGCCCCATCAGAAACTAACATTTAAATGCAATTTGCCTTTTTCCCTTGCTGTATTCATTTTTCTGTATTTTCGTGTAATGTATAAGCTCAGGGGACCAATGATGATTGTTAATGTAGAACAAGTAATGATATTTGTACTGGAAAAGGCAACTATTAGTACAAGAAAAAAAAAGAAAGAAAGAAAGAAAAGAGAAGCAAAAGCTCTTAGATTTTACACATCCCTAAAACACAGGGTTATCTACAAGTAGATTTAAGCAGAAATATCTCTGAAAGGGTTTGAGTCCTCAAAATTTTTGTTTCTGTGCACCCCTACACCAGCACCCTCAGTCTCACCCAAAGATGTTAATGTGGTTTACACTTCTTTTCTTAACAAAGAACAACGTCAAGGGATGAGATGGGGCGGGGGGTTGGAGGGGGTAGAAAAACGACCAGCTCAATACAACTGTTTTGTGACTGTTCTCCTCTTAGACATGTCAGGGCAGAGTGACAGTTTTGAAAGGGCTTGTCAGCCAGCTGGGTCACAGATGGAGAGTTAAAATGACCTCCTAAGGTCAAACTTTGCACAGCTACATAATACAATGAATGGGTCAAATTGTGTCCACAACTTCTGTCAATAGGGACACATAAAGAGCATCTATCTCATTGACCACAATGTATTTCAGTGAACAGAAAAGCTGTATTTGTGGTGGTGCTCATTGCCTGAATTTTGGTAACTTCATTTTCAGCTTTAATAGAAATGTAGTTTGCTGCCACCTAGAAGGACTTCGAGTCCTTCTGTCCCTCAGGTATACAGGCTGGCATTGCATCTGCATAATTTTTTAATATTTTAGCATTATCTGCATGTCATATGGCACCGAAGAGAAATTAACACTTAAGCATTGCTACTTTTATGCATCTTTTTTTTTTTTTTTATTTCCGAGAGAGAGAGAGAGAGAGAGAGAGAGAGAACATGAACAGGGGAGAGTCAGAGAGAGAGGGAGACACAGAATCTGAAACAGGCTCCAGGCTCTGAGCTAGCTGTCGGGCACAGAGCCCGACACAGGGCTCAAACCCACGAACTGTGAGATCATGAGCTGAGCTGAAGTCAGATGCTTAACCAACTGAGCCACCCAAGAGCCCCTACTTTTTTGCATCATATTGAACACATTAGGGTGGGATTTGCTCTCTCAACGAAAGACAAGGAGTTCAGGGAAGTTTGTTGGCTGTTTATGATATGGGGTTGGTTGGTTTTTGAAAGAGAGATGTTTTCAAAGAAAAAAAAATCTTTCTCCAAAGTGTCATAAAGCACAACATGTAATTTTAAAACCCATTTGGATAATTGACTGATTTGACAAGAAAACAACCTCAGAATTAACCTATATATTAGAATCAAGGAGTGATAAGATTGTGTACACTTTGCTATTTTGATAGGTATCTCACAAGGGACTAGAGCACACACCTCCCCTCATGTTTCTATAATTTAGATTTCTTTGTTTAGAGCTGTGATTGGGGGGTAATAAAGCTTTATAGAAACTCCCTGAGCTGATTGACAAGCCTGTTTTCAAGAAAAACTGCTGCGTGTAATATTTTGTTTCATAGCAAAATGTGTCAACGCATTTGGCTTCCTTCTGACTGTCTTTTGAAATATTTTATCAGGTCTCATCAGAGCCAGAGAAGGAACAAGAGACTTTAAATCAGAAGAGCATCACGGAGCCTCTCCCAGCAGCAGACGTGAAGAAAAAAATAGAAGGGTACCAGGATCTTGCAGTGAGGCCCCTGGGGTCTAGGGCAGACCCAGAAAAGGACAATGACACAGATCAAGGTGCCGACAGTGAGAAGGTGGCGGAGGAGGTGGGAGAGAAGGGGCCTGCTCCTCCACTCCTGAGTGCCCCTCCGGCCCCTGAAAGGGGTCCAGCCCCCATCCCCGGGGCCAGCAAACAGCCACTCACCTCTCCCAGCACTCTTGTGGACTCGAAACAAGAACCCCAGCCCTGCTGTTTTACAGAGAGCTCTGACAGTGACCTCCAAGAAGCGCCCTTCACTGGCTTCCCCACCTCACAGCCACCCCTGGCAAACCAGAATGAGATGGAGGATGACAAGCTGCCCGCAATGGCAGATTACATCGCTAACTGCACCGTGAAGGTGGACCAGCTGGGCAGCGATGACATCCACAATGCCCTAAAGCAGACCCCAAAGGTCCTCGTGGTTCAGTCATTTGACATGTTCAAAGACAAAGACCTGACTGGGCCCATGAATGAGAACCACGGACTCAATTACACCCCTCTGCTCTACTCAAGGGGCAACCCAGGCATCATGTCCCCCCTGGCCAAGAAAAAACTTTTGTCCCAAGTCAGTGGGGCCAGCCTCTCCAGCAGCTACCCTTACGGCTCCCCACCTCCTTTAATCAGCAAAAAGAAACTCATTGCAAGGGATGACCTGTGCTCGGGTTTGTCCCAGGCCCACCACGGCCAGAGCACGGACCACATGGCGGTCAGCCGGCCGTCGGTGATTCAGCACGTCCAGAGTTTTAGAAGCAAGCCGTCGGAGGAGAGAAAGAGCATCAGTGACATCTTTAAGCATGACAAGCTGGGTCGATCAGATCCCTACCGCTGCAGTCTCTCTAAGCATCACCTTAGCCCTCTTGCTGACTCCTATGTCCTGAAGCAAGAAATTCAGGAGGGCAAGGAGAAGCTCCTGGAAAAAAGGGCGCTCCCTCACTCCCACATGCCTAGCTTCCTGGCTGACTTCTACTCCTCTCCTCACCTCCACAGCCTCTACAGACACACTGAGCACCACCTTCACAACGAACAGACAGCCAAGTACCCTTGCAGGGACATGTACAGGGAATCAGAAAACAGTTCTTTCCCTTCCCACAAACACCAAGACAAGGTCCACGGGAATTATCTCGCATCGCTACATCTGCAAGACAAAAAATCAGCCACGGCCGAAGCGCCCACAGATGATCAGCCGACGGACCTGAGCCTTCCCAAGAACCTGCACAAGCCCACGGGCAAGGTCCTGGGCCTGGCGCACTCGGCCCCAGGACCCCAGGAGAGCAAGGGCGCCCCCCACTTCCAGGTCCTCAACAGCCAGGGTCGAGACTGTCACCCCAAAGCCTGCCGGGTATCGCCCATGACCATGTCGGCCCCTAAAAAGTACCCCGAATCGCTCTCCAGGTCGGGAAAACCTCACCACGTGAGGCTGGAGAACTTCAGGAAGATCGAAGGCATGGTCCACCCCGTCCTGCACCGGAAATCGAGCCCCCAGAACATTGGTGCAGCGCGCCCCATAAAGCGCAGCCTGGAGGATTTGGACCTTGTGATTGCCGGGAAGAAGGCGCGGGCGGTGTCCCCCCTGGACTCATCCAAGGAGGCCTGTGCGAAGGAGAAGGCCTCGGAGCCAGAGAGCGAAGGTGGCAAGGCGGCGCACAGTGCGCACTCGGGGGGCCAGTCAGAGGGCCACAAGCTTCCTCTCTCCTCCCCCATCTTCCCAGGTTTGTATTCTGGGAGCCTGTGTGGCTCGGGCCTCAACTCCAGGCTCCCGGCCGGCTATTCCCATTCTCTGCAGTACTTGAAAAACCAGACCGTGCTTTCTCCACTCATGCAGCCCCTGGCTTTCCACTCGCTTGTGATGCAGAGAGGAATCTTCACGTCGCCGACAAATTCTCAGCAGCTTTACAGACACTTGGCTGCGGCCACACCTGTAGGAAGTTCGTATGGGGACCTTTTGCACAACAGCATTTACCCTTTAGCTGCTATAAATCCTCAAGCTGCCTTTCCATCTTCTCAGCTGTCGTCTGTACACCCCAGTACAAAACTGTAAGCCCAGAGCTGCACTCCTTACCCTGGGGGTAATGGCTTGTAGAATTAGAAGTCAGTATTCCTTCTAATCCGGGGGTAAGATCAGTCCCAGCCAAAGGGGCCGAGAAGAGAGGTGAACATACCTGATTTTTCCTGGGAAGACTCCAGCCATGGCTGGTTAGTCTTGCACCCCTTCCAACACAGATGCCCTGGTACCTAGATGGTTCCCTTTGCACGTGGGTCTTGAGAAGGGATTTTTGTGTATCCAGGAAGAATTTAGAGGACCCCGTCTTGAGGATGGTCAGGAACAATCTGGGCAAAAAAAGGGGGGGGGGCAGGCTTTTCAAAGGAAGGGGCGAGGAAGACTGGCAAATGTTTGCCAAGGGATGCCCCTCTTCCCATAAAACTCTCCAAGGTTCAATCAATGCAATGTATAGAGAAACTTCAGTAGATCTTTCATTTTGACACTATTAAACAATCCAGAGAAGTGAACACTGTTAAAATGACTGTATATATTTGCTTCTTAAAACTACCTGTATCACTGTTTGCTGACCTAATTTATATACAGGTAGTTCCATTTTCTCCCAGTTCCTTCTTGTCTTTTTTTTTTTTTTTTTTTAATTAAACAGTATCACTTTTGTTTGCAGGTCTTTTTGTTTTATTTTGTTTTGCTTTGTTTTGTTTTAAAGGCTGACTGACTGTCCTAGTTGTTGATGTGTGTTTGTAATTTTTCCACATCTTATCATTTTGAGCAGCTTTGGGTGGTAAAGTTATTGTTTACAAATTGAAGCAACTGATTCTAGTGGAACAAATGAAAAAGAAACAGTTGAGCACACAATAGTGCAAAGAATGTTCCTTTGCAGATCCACAACTTAAGGATTTTGTTCCTCATAAATGGCATAGTCGAAAGAGCTTATACACTGCTTACCCGGCCAAATGCTTTGCTTTGAAGTATTGGGTTATGTGAAAATATCGAGCATTGTCCTTACCTTATCTAGGCTGTGAAACTGTCCTACATACCAGAGGAATCATAAAAACAAAAACCTCACTGGCAGCAAGCTGCTGAATAACAAGAGTCTAGAGGACATATTTGTGGGCTGCTCAGATATTTTAGGAATTTCAGAAATTAGAACAGAAGCCAAAATGATTTACATTGGTGTTGGCACTGATCCCTTTAAACAGTGTGGGAAAGGGGGTTGGGGAAGAAGATGGAGCTCAACTATCCAGAAGAAAAGGAGCAGCTGGAGGCCCAGGCACCTGATACCTTCCCTGGGCCGCACCCGATCTTTGAGTAATAGGTAGTCACATGGCCTTCACCAAGTTGGTTTCTTGTTGTTCTCAAGAAGAACCTCCCAGCCCACATCTCTGGGGATTATTGGCATCCTGGATTACCCATTTCAAAAGAAGTCCTCTTCTTTGGGTTTATGGGGCGTTAGTTTTGTGTGTGTGCACGCACATTTTGTGGTTCATGTCGTGTTTTTAACCACCTGGCAAGACAGCCCACGTTACGATTTCTTTTATTGTTGGAAGAAATGGTCAAGTTGTTCAAGCAGTCAAAAGATGTGGAGAATGTGTATGGTCATTCTCGCCACTTTATTCCATTCGCTGCTGGGATGTAACATCGAGGTGGATGAATTTTCTAAGTGTGTTAAGAGTCAATCGATACAGAGCGGATTTTCTTTCCAAGTCCCATCCCTGCTGATTAAGACTGCTTTGATGAACTCCCCAGCTAACCCTCCCCTCCCCCAACACTACCAGTAGACATTAGAACCACAGTTAACCAGTCTTTTACCTCTGAGATATTTAATTCTATGAAAATTGATGACAATTTTCAACTTCTAAATAGGTAACTCGACTGCAAAATAATCACAACTGGTAAACAATGACACTGCGGCTCTTAAAGCCATGCATGCCATGCATTTGTATTGAAGTGTCTCCATGACATGAAGCCAAATATTCAATGTAACATACTTAATATCCAAAGGTGGAAACAAAAGAATGTAGAGACCTAGTGTTAAGAGTTCCATTTGCTTCAATTAATTATTTACCTTCCTGTGGAATTTTACGTATATATATATATATATATATATGCACACACACACACACACATATATATATATATATAATAGAACCATAGATAGACTAGTAGAATATAGATTATAAATGTGTGAGTGCAGATTATCCTGCTATTGCACAAGATGGAGGGGGGAAATAAATCTCAATTCCAGCTGGCAAAATGCTAGCCAGGACACATGTAAGAAAGTTGCACTAGATTGAATGGTCACAGGATCAGAGGACATGGAAGAAAAAGGAAACTCCAGTGTTTCTGCAGCAGAACATGGGCTAGACCCTGCCTGGTTTCTAGGAGTCTGTTTCCCAAAGGAGTGGGGTCCGTCTGTCCCTGGTGGGGCTCACCTATCAGTTTGGAATATGGGGCATTTGTTTTCCCCGCTACAATGATTTCAGTCTGGTTTCATCATGTTGGAATTCGATCACACCATTTTCAAACAATGTTAACATAGTCCAGCTTTTGTTTTTCTCCTCTCTTCCCGAGAGGAGACTCGCTGTTTCTGTCTGAGGAAGCTCATACCCTCGGCAAAACATCAGGACAAATAAAGAGAAATGGGGGTATACATTCCCAACAGAAGCAGCATGTTATTTGTTTTAAAACTCTGAACAGAGATCTTGGAAATCTTTCAAAAAGACCATTGAATTCTTCATTGGCTGAGAACTACATTTTAAAAAGTCTTAAATAGGGCTTTGTTTGCATTGTTTGAGTTCAAGGGGCCTTATTATTGAATGGAATTGCCCAAGTCTTTCTTTGTGCAATCAAACCATTGTTATTGGTAGTTTAGTAAAGGAAACTGTGGAATCTAATTGGCAATGGAGTCATAAATCTATTTACTGAGTGTGGCTTCCAAGAAATGTTGCAATTCAAAATAGCACTAAGTCCATGATTTACTGGAGATTTGGAGATTCTAAATAATATCTTAAAAAAAGAAAGAAAGAAAAAAAAAGCCTTTCCATGCAACTTCTGGTTTAACGTTTGGCAACTTAAAAAAACAAAAAAGCAAAAAAATGAAAAAAATGAAAAAACAAAACAAAAAAAAAATGCCCCGGCCCAACTGAGTTTCAGAATTAAGTATTCTTCTAGTAAGTGATTGGAACTTGTAATATTTGCCACAGGACTGACTTATTTATTTACTAGCTAGAAGCTCTTAAGTTCACTTGTTTATCAGGGCATATACAGAAGGGTTTGTTAAAACTCAGTGTTGACTTTACAACTTTCTGACCTGGTGCATGAATTCTCAAGTACTGTATTTCACTGTGTTGGTGTGTCTGATGGAAATTTTGAGGTGATCCCACAAAAATATTTTATGTAGTGTGCCTTCAAAGAGAACCATTTCTTTCTCTTCACTTGTTGTCCCACAAAGTCACATTTGGTGGTGGTCAGCCAAGTCCCATCCGGTCCAGTTTTACTCTTGTCCCAGATTTAAAGAGAAATGGGAACAAGTTTGCCCTGGTGAGACCCACACCATTGCAATGAGTATCTTGAGCACTTAAATTCCAGTGTTGGCTGTTGATGTATTTGATATTCTGCTTGTCTCCCCATGGTTGAAATATGTCTGAAAAATAGCAGCATAATCTCTTGGCTGTTTATACTTTTTTAAACTTTCCTGTGTTGTAAATATTGTATACTTTTGGTGATTCCAGCTATGTAACCTCTATGCTCTGTAAGGTGATTATTTGTATATAGCAACATGGCCCAGTGATATTACATAGTTTCCCAATGGAGAGGTTATTGAGTAACCTTTGCATTAGTTTAAACACTACCAGAAGAATGCTGAGCCAAAACTATAAACACTCAATTTTGTATGTTTTCCAAATTGTACTTATTACTGCTTTTGATACTGTATTACGTGCCAATAGTTTCCCAATCACATAGCAGGCAAGAGATATTTTGTACTTTTTGATCCACTGTAATATTTAATAAAAAATGTTACTATCTGTTTCCTTTTGGGTGTGTGCAATCTGTTACTTCTTCCTGAGGAGTCCTGTGGCCTCACCAGCCTTTTTTGCATCCTGTTGCTTCCAAATTGGATAATAGAGGTTATGATGACAATGATGATGATGGTGGTGGTGGTGGTGGTGGTGGTGATGGTGATAGTGGTGTCTACTTTGTTGAGAATCTGCTGGGTGCCCAAGTGACATACAGTATCTTTAGTCTTTACACCCCCTTGTGAATACAGGTATGCCCATTTTACTGAGAAAACTAAAGCTTAGAGAAATCAGTCAACTTGCCTAAGGTCACCTGACTAACAAATTAACAGAGTCAGGATTTGAACCCAGAGTTCTTAAGTCTATGACTTCCTTTTCATCCTATGCTTCTCTCCTGGCAAATAACAAAAGTCACTGTCTATTTACTTGGTCAACAAAGATTTACTCATGCCTCACTGCCAGGCTTAGTGTTAGGGAGCTAAAAATACAATGGGGAGTAAAAGATAAATACTGTCCCTGGAGCTTAGAAACCTTATGAGAGTTAATCAAGTAGTCACCCACATAAATACAAAACCCCCACCTGATCTAGTTCCAAGGGAGAGGAGTGTGGTAACCAAAATGATACATGAAGAGGAAGTAGTGACTCAACTGGCGTGTGAAGGAGGAATGTGAGTTGACCAGGTGAGAAGGAATTGGGAAAAGAGGAGTCCAAACACAGGAGTGCCATGTGCATGTGCGAAGGCCCCACAGCAGGGACAAGGTTGGTTTATCATAGGAATAAAATTAAAAAAAAAAAAAAAAAAAAAAGGAGCTTGTGTGACAGAAGCATAATTGACAAGGTCCAGGGAATGAGGTTGAGGTGAGGTGAGAGAGTTAGCAGGACCAGCTAGGTAGGACATAACAGACCAGGCTGAGCATTTTGGTCTTTTTTCTAAGCAAGAAGAGGTTTAAGCAGGGAGATAATGTGCTCAGATTTCTTTTGTTGTCACTTGCTGGCTGCCATGTGAAGGCAGACTATGAGCAATCCAACACCAAGATGGTGGTCATTTCAGTTGGAGTGGTGGAATGGTAGAGTGGGCACAGTTCAGTGGTACTTAGAAAGAAGGGTGAAGAGACAGCAATGGATTAAATGGTATAATTGATGGATATTCAGGAAGGGGTGAAAAGCTAGGCAAACAGCATATTCTGACTGATGATGATGATGATGATGATGGACAAAGATTTCTGATCTTTTATCCCCTTAATCCTCTGCCTTCAAGCTTCCCCCTGGTTTTTCTCAGCTTATTATTAGTTGAAATGAGGCATTTACAAATTAATACCATGTGCTCCCTTTTAAATGGGTTCTAGAGATTAGGGCAGGAGAAGGGGTAGACAGACCTTAGTGAAGCTCTTGCTTTCCAACCCACAACATCTGGTCAGGATGGACTTAAAATAGACAGGAGAGAGTAAGCTGCTAGCAAGCATGTGGCCACAACTCTGAGCAAGATGGGGTGGGGAAACATGTATATTTTGATAAAAGACACTAGACCCTTTTTCTTATCATGGAAAGGACCTTGCTTACCCTCTCAGACCAGTAGGAATTGCAGCAACATGTTCTGGGCTTCTCTCTTTTCTTGCTGGCTATCATACCTTTGTGAATCCAAACACTTCACACACAGGTAGACCCCCTAGCCTGATGGCTTCCTTGCCTTCACTCTGATTCATGTGCATTTCATATCATGTGAACCACTCTGAGTACATCAAAAAAAATGTTCTTCCATCTATGATACATTCAGCATTTATAGATCTGATACTTGAATCATACACAACAGGAAACATCATGATAAGTTATCTATTTTTACCAGACCTGGCTGGCAAATACTGTTGGGAAGGAGGGTGCTTTTGCTAAAGATGTCACTCATAGTGCAAAAAGCAATGAAAATGCCCAATGATTTATTCTAGGAAAGTGGCCAAAGTTGACAAATGTTTGAGGGCTGATAGTGACCAGGAAATGGGTGATCGTTTACATCAACAAGTATATAAGTGGCAGGAGGTGGGATTGGGGTGACGGGTGACCTCTGGCCAGGAATAATGTGAAAGAAAGCATAGTCTTCAAGCTTGGCCTAGGAAGTATAGTAAATCACATTAATTTAGGTTTTGCCAATTCAGAATTCCTGAATTTTGGAATCTGCAGGCTAAGTCCTAGGATAAAAAACATTCCAAAGTATTTGTTTAACCTGCTCAAAAGAACAAACTATTTTTAATCGTGTTAGCTCTAACCCTAGGCATTCAGCCAACCGAGGAAGGACAAGGTGATCTGTTCCCTGAGGCATCCATACAAGAACTACTACTATTTTAATTATTGTTGAAACTCCTTCTAGAACAGAACTGTCCAGTGGAACTTCCTGGGGTGGTGGCAATATTTTGTAATTGAAAGTTTCCCAAACTGTAGCTACTCACCAGTGTGGCTACTGAGCCCTTGAAATGTTCCCGAGTGTGATGAAGGAACTGACTCTTTAATTGGATTTCATTTTTATTCATTTAAATTTAAATAGACCCCTGTGGCTAATGGTTCCTACATTGAACAGCACAGCTCCAGAAGGTGTAAATGGTTAGTGTTCACATGCAGATAGACTCTCTTACAGACAGGTCAATATCTGCATATAAACATTAACATAAAGAGTAAAGCAGTCAACATTGAGTCTCTTTTTGGCAAAACGTCATTAATCAGTTGGGGCTATAGATTTGACACTATTTTTCACTCAGGACTAATACATCACAGGCATTTAAATACTTAACTGAATGAACTAATAAATCATTGAGAGAACATTAAGAAAAAAGTCTGCAATTTTGGCATTTTGTAATCAAGTCCTGCTTTGTATGTTAAATCTGATTGTGTAAGGCTAGAACACAACTTCCAGAAAGTCTCTGCAGTGTTCGTGTGACCATGTTCAAACCACACTGCTTCACTCCTTGGGAATTGGATATTTAACTCTGGACACTGGGAGAGTATTCAGCATGAAGGAGATTATCAAGGGAAGAGAGGGGCCCAGGGACCAAGTGTGAAGCAATCCATGACAAAATATTTTCAGTGTCCCGGTCTTTGTACTTCAAACCTAGGTATGTCCCTTTATTTCTCCTTTACACA